CCACCGTATGGGCGAAAATGGGCCCGTCATGCACCCCTTGAGGTTTCCCCTCGGGGTTACCCAGTGCTGCGCCTGCATCATCGCGGTGATCATGGGGCTCTCAGAACGAAGGTGTCCCAAGCGCCGAAACAGGCGCACCGACAGAGATATTCCCACGATCTTGGCGCGAGTGGGCGGTAGTCCCCCAACCCGGTAGCTCCCTCGTGGGGTGCCCAAGTGCCATGCGAGAGAAGGTTCTGGGGGCCCACAACAGGCGAAGGAGGAGGAGGAAGAGGAGGAGGAGGAGGAGGAGGAGGGGGAGAAGGAGGAGGAGGAGGAGTTGGAGGAGGAGGAGGAGTTGGAGGAGGAGGAGGACGCGGGGATGATGATGATGATGATGATGATGATGATGATGATGATGATGATGATGATGATGATGATGATGATGATGATGATGATGATGATGATGATGATGATGATGATGATGATGATGATGATGATGAAACTGATGATGATGATGATGATGATGATGATGATGATGATGATGATGATGATGATGATGATGATGATGATGAGGATGATGATGATGATGATGATGATGAAGATGATGATGAGGAGGAGGAGGAGGAGGAGGAGGAGGAGCAGAAGAAGCAGGAGGACCACCACACACGACGAGGACGAACATCACCACGAGGATGGCTGGGGAGCCCAGGGGCAAGAGAAGGAGTTGGAGGACTGGCGAGGAGATGGAGCGGGAGGAGGGCAACCACTTGCGAGCCATGGCTCGTCGTCTTGATGGGGCCGAGCAGGGGCGGCCCCGCTCGGCGAGAGGCAGCTCCGTGCACGTGCGCTGCGCCGCAGCGTGGGCGCCAACCAACGGTTCTGCCGGTGGACGCCCCCCCGAACCTCCGTGAGACGGGCCGGCATGCCGTGCGCTGGAACGCCCCCAAAGTGCTCCACGCCCACCAGTCGGGGCATACGAATTTTTTGGGGGGGGCAACGGAGCAAGCGGGGGCTGGCGAATGTGCGGCGTGCAGGTGCTTTTGGCTCGCCCTCATCCCAGCGACTGAGGCAGCCAGGTGCCGATTCTGGAAACCATGAACCCAAAAACGTTGCCACTTCTTCGGGGGCGCATCTTTTACTTCCGCCGCCTTCCGCCGGCCTTCCTGCAGCTTCCCCCGGCGGACGCGACCTCGTTTTACTCCCGCCAGCCTTCCACCGAGGAAGATATGGCACCTCGTTCGATCCTCGAAGGCAAGGCCCTTTCTGGAACGCCTCACGTGTAGCCAGGAGCGCACTTGGCGGTGGGGCCGAGACCAGCTGACATAGCAGATTTCGAAACGCCCCCGCTTTCCCAATCCACCCCCCCGCGTCCGCGCCGATGCAGCTCTACCAGGGGCAAAATGCCCAGGGATGGCGAGGTCTCCTGGTGGTCTGGGTAAGACGTCACTCCGCTGGACCCCCCAGCAGCCCTTGAAAGTGGCGACAATTTCGCAGATCGCAGCCCCATTGGGATGGCGAGGTCTCCTGGTGGTCTGGGTAAGACGTCACTCCGCTGGACCCCCCAGCAGCCCTCGCAAGTGACGACAGTTTCGGGGGCTGCTGGGTCCCCACAGAGATGGCCAGGTAGGAGGCAAGCTGGCACGCAGGAAGGAGCAAGGTGAGAGGCAGGAGAGAAGAGGAGAGGAGGAGGAGGAGGAGGAGGAGGAGGAGGAGGAGGAGGAGGAGGAGGAGGAGGAGGAGGAGGAGGAGGGGCGCAGCAGAAGGAGAACACGCGCGGGCAATGTTCTATTCAAAACGAGTACCCAACGCAGGAGGGTCGGGACAAAATGCCTCCAAGACGCCCCCGAGACGCCTCCCATGAGACCCCATCAGCCATCCAAGTGTCCTCAGACCCGCAACCCGAGCACGGTGGCGGGATGTGCCGAAGTCCATTCGATCCGCCGCCCCCTGTCGATTCATCGCAGGGGTGCCTGGCGTGCCAGACCCTCTCGGTTTTGGTTTTGGTTCTTTTTCGACAAGAACTCCCCCTGGGGCTCCGACGCGTCCCGCCGGGGTCCCGGGAGGATTGCCACGGACCTCAATTCCCCAATTTTTCCTCCAAGACGGCTCAAGATGGTCTCCAAGATGGTCCAGCATGGCCTGCCAGTCCGACAAAGATGATCCAAGATGGCCTCCAAGTCCGCCCAAGATGATCCAAATCGGCCTCCAAGACGGCCCAAGAGAGTCCAAGACGGCCCAAGACGGCCCCCCAGAGGCCTCCCAGACGGCCCAAGAGGCCTCCAAGAGGTCCTCCAGGAGGGCCTGAAGAGGCCAAGCTCATTGAGTTTCCTTGTGTTTTTGAAGGATTTTGGCATTTGCTTCTTCTCGGCATTCCGACGGCTCAAGACGGCCCAAGAGGCCCCCAAGATCGCCCAAGAGGCCCCCAAGAGGGCCCCATGACGGCCCAAGTGGCCTCCAAGACGGCCCCAAGAGGGCCCCGAGACGGCCGAAGAGGCCTCCAACACGCCCAAGAGGGCCTCCAAGACGCCCAAGATGGCCTCCAAGACGGCCCCGAAGCGCCCCAAGAGGGTCCCCCGTTGGCCCAGAAAGGCCCCCAAGACGGCTCCCGACGGCGTCAGGCGTGCCAGGTGCCAGGAACCCACCAAGATGGCCGAAGTTGGCTCGAAGCTGGCCCAAAAGAGGTTTTAGAGCCCCCAAAGATCGCCGAAAGATCGCCCAAGGCGCCTCCAAGATGGCCCCAGAACGGCCCAAGAGGGCCCCAAGACGGCCCCAAGAGGCCCCAAGATGGCACAGGAGGCCTTGCAGGCGCCCAAGATGGTCTCCAAGACGGCCCTGGAGCATTCCAAGAGGGCCACAAGTCGGCTCAGAGAGGCCCCCCGAACGGCTTCCGACGGCGTCAGAAGGACCAGGAGCCCACCAAGACGGCCGAACATGGCCCTAAGATGGCCCAAGACGGCCCAAGAGGCCTCCAAGAGGGCCCCCAGGAAGGCCCGAAAAGGCCAAAATCCCACGGGTTTTTGAAGGATTGTGGCATTTGCTTTTTTTCTGCCTTCCGACGGCCCGAGACGGCCCAAGTGCCCCCAAAGATCGCCCAAGAGGCCCAAGACACGGCCCCAAGAGGCCCCCAAGACGGCCCAAGATGGCCTCCAAGACGGCCCAAGAGCCCTCCAAGACGTCCTCCAAGAAGGCCCGAAAGGGTTAAAAAATGGCCTCCAGACGGCCAAGATGACCTTCAAGATGCCCACGTGTTCCCCGAAGGCTTTCCAAACCGATTCGGGGAACACATGGTCCGATAGCTTGGCAGGTCTGGCCTCGACGTTCGGCCACATAGGCGCTTCCAAAAAGGCAGGGGGCGGCGGTGATTCGCCGTAGGCGTCTTCGATCCGCCGCCCCCCGGGGATTCATCACAAGGATGCCCAGCGCGCTGAATCCTTTCGCTTTTGGTTTTGGTTCTTTTCCACAAAAAAACTCCCCGGGTTTCGGCCCCGCCCGCCGGGGTCCCGGAATGGCCCGGAAAGGGTGGTTCCAAAAGCTGTTCCTGCTCCAGATGGCTCGAAGATGGCTTCCAAGATGGCCAAGATGGCCTCCAGGTTCGCCCAAGATGGTCCAGGAAGCCTCCAAGACAGCCCAAGATGGCTCCAAGATGGCCTAAGGCTGCCCAAGAGGGCCCCAAGAGGCCTCCAAGAGCTCAACCAGGAAGGCCCGAAGATGCCAAATTCATTGATTTCCTTTTGGTTTTTGGAGGATTTTGGCATTTTCTTCTTTTCAGCTCTCCGACGGCCCAAGATGGCCCAAGGGGCCCCAAGCATCGTCCCAAGAGCGCCCAAGAGGCCTCCAAGACGGCCCCATGACAGGCCAAGAGGCCCCGAAGAGGGCCCCAACAAGACCCCAAGACGGACCAAGAGGCCCCCAACACGCCCAAGATGGTCTCCAAGATTGCCAAAATGGCCTTCAAGATGCCTCCAAGACGGCCAAGAAGGCCTCCAAGACGGCGAAGATGGCCCCAAGATGCACCCACGACGGCCCCAGATGGCCTGAAGATGGCCTTAGACTGCCCAAAAGGCCCGCCAGAGGCCTCCAAGACGGCCAAGACCCCTCCAAGACGTCCTCCAGGAAGCCCGAAAACTCGGTACCACCTGGTCCGATAGCTCGCCCGACTCCGTGTTCCCCGAAGGCTTTCGAAACCCACTCGGGGAACGCGTGGCCCGATAGCTTGGCCAAGCTCAAACCCAACGTTCGGCCACGCAGGCGCTTCCAAAAAGGCAGGGTGCGGCAGTGATTCGCCGTAGGCGTCTTCGATAATCATCCGTCGGGTGTTTTGCCAGATGCCCTCTGTCTGTGTACGCAGCTTCTTGCCCCAGTCCCCATGCGTGCACGACGAACGCTGACCATGTCAGCCCAAGAGGCCCCCCAAAACCCCAAGAGGCCCCCATGAGCCCCCAAAGCACTCCACGAAGCCCCCAAAAGGCGCACAAGAGGCCCTCAGGAGTAACACACAACAACCACCAGTTCCCCAAGGGGTCGGCGGGGTGGCGTAAGCCCAATAATCATCATGATCAACGTCGTCGTCGTCGTCGTCGTCATCGTCATCATCACCACCATCACCAGCACCGTCACCGCCACCATCACCATCGTCATCACCATCAACACCATCAACACCATCAACATCCTCCTCCTCCTCCTCCTCCTCCTCCTCCTCCTCCCATCACCGTCGTACTCTTCATTGCACTTCATCACCACCACGCATGGAGGGTGGGCCGTCGTAGGACGAGAAGTTGGAAGAGGCGGCGCGAGCGCGCGCAAAGGCGAGCACGGCTGCGCGTCAAGTAGCGTCTGCGCAGGCATAATGAAGGAGAATGGGTAGGCGTGTGGCAGTGCGGGCAAGAATAAGGAGGGCGAGGGCACTGGATAAGAAATCATGTGATAAGAAATCCAGGGTCTGGACATCGGACATCGGACATCAACCGAGGTGCCGCGGGTGCACAGCAAATGGGCGCCGGGGCGCCGCTATGTGGAACTCAAACCGTGGAATGCCATGGGTACCACTACCGCACACATCAGGTACGGAATCCTCCAGGGTCTTAAGGCTCCTGGGCGCATTCCTTGGCGAACTCCACTCCGTATTTGGAACCTCGATCGAGAGGCCTTACAGACCCGAACCTCTCCGAACTCCAAACGCGAATTCGATTGGCTACGTCTCCAACTTCCGGGACATTCCGCCAGATGCACCGTGACCATCACGACTGCCATCATAGCCATATGACTTCTGCTCCCGTTCTTTTCATACTTTTCCCCACTCCCCCTCCTCTACTCTCCTGTGTTCATCATCTGTTGCCTACCAACGCTTTCCAGGGGCAAGATCACCACGACAAGATCAGTTCACACGGCGCAAGCATGATTACACCAAGGGTAGGGGATTGGAGCTGCTTAGGACACGTCTGCGATGCCATTCGCTCTGGACTCTGGCTGCCACGAGTTGGACACACACGCACACACACACACACACACGGGGACGCTTGGCGTACCAATCTACACGACGGCCAAGGGCCAGCAATACGGTCCTCTGCGGGGGCACAGCTCTCGCCACGGCTGGCCACGCCCTCGGTATGCAGCGTTCTGGTAGGCTCGGCATCGGAAATTGAAAAGGCGACGGCGGGCAACAGGCAGTTGACTGCAGCGGGCAGCCTTGCTCCTGATGGCATCCAGCTGCGATGCCAGGTCCTGGTTACCCAGAGCGTGGGCCTGGCGCAGAGAAACGCAGGAAGGCACACGGACCGTACTGCACGAGGGATGCATCGCCTTCCCAACACCACCATGCGAAAACAACAGACGCCATGTGTGGACGGCAACGACACCCGCCATCGTTCCTATTGGCACGTTGAGGCGCGGTGTAATGTATGCAGCATGCTGCTTGGCAAGATTACTGTCTTCTGTGCCCCCCCCATCGTCACGCCCACGGGCGTGTTCCCCTCCTCCCGAGCTTCCATAGGCGTCCCGACACCTCGTGGGGCGTCCCAGGGCCCCCCCAAACTTCCAAGACTGTCCAGAAAAGCCACCTCGGCGGCTAGTACGGCTCAGCACTGCCTGATGTGGCACCCAAACGCCCCAGTCACACCCCAAGGAGCGCCAGGGGCCCTCCAGGAAAACACTCTCAACAGTTCAGGAATTCCCATCGGTAGTTTCATAGTTTGACTTTCTGGGCCGCTCGTCTCAGCATGGTTCCAAGGTGGAATGCGATGAGCCACAGGGAAGCCAAAAGAAGGTAACGAGGGTTCCAATGACTCCCCCTGACGGCCCAGGACAGTTCCAAGAGGACCCCATGACGGCCCAAGAAGGGCCCATGGCGGCCCAACATCGCCCCAAGATGACCCGATAGGTCCCCTGGACCCCCCAACGAGAGCCACAACTGACTCCCCGAGTAAGACTGCCCAACAAGACCCCGAACAGGCCATACGTAGAGGGTCCCAAGACGGCCCCACAGGATCCCAAAACTGTCCATGTCCAGGCAGGCCGAGGAGAGCCGCTGAACGACTGGAGGCGAGAGATGTCACATGCTGCGCCCCCCCTGGCGGTGCTCGAACCGTCGCAACACAAGCTGCTGCGCTGGCACGGTGGCGGAACTTGCGATTGCAGCTAGACACATCTTGGAATGTTACCGACGCAATGCGTAGAGCATGTACGCCTTTCTCCTCCAACTCCCACTCCTCCTCCCTCCTGTGTCTGGTCGTCTTCGTTCTCCTCCTGCTTTTGCTCCCCTCCCCGCATATTCATGATTTGCTGCTGCTCCACATGCTCCTCATCGCCGTCCTACTCAATCGTCCCTCATCGCTCCGTAATCGTCTGTCTCTCCTCCCCCTCCCTCCTCCTTCCTCTCTCCCCACTCCTCCTCCTCCTCCTCCTCCTCCTCCTCCTCCTCCTCAATCCAATTTCCTATACCTACGTTCTCCCCGTCGCACCCCCAGACGTGTCCGTAGGTTGGTCCAGGCGCTTCGTCTGAGACCCCCCTACGGTTTATGACCCTGAAGCTTGAAATTTGCAGCAGATTGAAAGATAGAGTGCGGGTCGTTTTCACAAGGCAACTGCTGCCCTTAGCGCCACGCACCGTGAAAAGAAAAACAGCGGTTTCACAGATAGAGGGCGGGCCGTTTTCAAAATGCTGTTGTCGCCTTAGCGCCGCGCGCAGCGGTTTCGCGGATGGAGGGCGGGCCGTTTTCAAAATATGGCCCTCCACTCAGCGCTGTGTGAATTCGATGTAAAAGTTCGCAGCAGCTTCAAATATGCACGGCGGCTCTTTTTCAAAATGTGCCTAGGTATCGCCTGAACACCGCGCACATTCGCCTTGAAATGTTGCAGCAGTTTCAAAGATTCGAATGGTTGACGTCCCAGGAATTGTGTGTTCGCGTGGATTCGTAGTGTTGAAGTCCCAGTGCCCTGGCACAGTCTAACATATTTAGGGCGTAACAGTCACGTTGATTCGCGGCGCTGAAGTCCAAGGAATGGCACTTTGGAGCGATGCAGGGCTCTGAAACGGTTGTCTTGCATTGGCGCACTCCCCGCAATGACAAAATATTCTTGTATCGGACCTATGAAGAGGAAACTTTGAGGGAGGGTGTATTGCAACATCGTTGATGCGCCTTGGACTTACAATGGTCCTCCTCCTCCTCCTCCTCCTCATCCTTCCATTTCTCCTGCTTCTCTTCCTCGCTTTCCACATCTCCTCCTGTCTCCCTTTCCACCACTCCATCCGTCTCCCCCCTGTTCATGCCCTTTTCATGAACTGTCCTCCTCCATCTCGTAGTTTATTTCGGGCAATCTCTACTGGGCGCTGTGTGTATCACTCTGACAGCTCATGATGATCCAAAGGTCTGCGTAAATATGGGGCTTTCGAGTTACTGCCACGCAACCCGTTGAACCGGTGCTGGATCAACAGAGCCGATGACTGCCTCGTCGCCAAGCACCATCTATCACCACAGCGGAGCTGCGCCACAGTGTGAGACAGAATACTGCACGCTGGCCGCCGCTCAGCAGAGTTCTCGAGCCCCGGTGACAGCGCCGGTCGCTCTTGCCCGACAGGAAGCAATACGCAGAAAACGTCGGAGAACCGCGCGGCGAGCAGAAATGCGACACCTGTCTGGGGGGGCAGGCTTTCGTCAGGGATCAATCCGTTCGGGTGACCCTGCAGTCCCGAAAGCGGCCCCCGGCAAGCCGAAACGGGAGAAAAAAAAGCCGGGTTTGAACGGATCCAACCGCCGCCCCAAGCCGGCGTCCTCCTGCTTCACCTCCCTCCTCCCCCTCCTCCTCCAGCTCCTCCTGCTCCTCCTCCTCTTCCTCCTCCTCCTCCTCCTGCTCCTGCTCCTGCTCCCTCCCCTCCTGAAGAGATATACCTTTCGGTTTCCATTGCCAAGACGATCATGCAAACACCAAACTTCACACAGCTTCGTCCGGCGGATTGGATCTGGACCGTTCTGGTTTTCTTGCCGGTTGAGATCTGGCGCGTCCGGTTCAGATCGGGACCGCCCATCTGGGATCTGACCACATCGCGCTCCCCCCCCCCACCCCCCCCGGGCCGCAGCCCCTGACGACGCCGAGGCCGCCCAGGGCCCGGCCTGGGCGCGCCCGAGGCCCAGCAGGTGCCGCTGGTGCTGCTCCTCCAGCATCCGCCTGAGCACGGGCGGAGTCTGGGACGGGGCTCCTCGAGGCTCGAAGAGGTCTCTCGCCGCTCGACGACGACGAGGACGAGGAGGACGAGGAGGACGAGGGGGACGAGGAGGACGAGAGGGCCGAGGAGGCCGAGGACGACGAGGACGACAACGGCTCGAGGCTCGGAGAGGGCTGTTGCCGCCCGGGTGCCCGCCGCGGGGCCCGGGACCGTCGGAGATGCATCCAGCCGGGCTCGGGCTCGGTCTCGGGCCGGGGACCGGGCTCGGGCTGCGGCCCGGGCTCGGGCCTCGACTCCATGGGCTCAGGATCGAGGGTCGGGCTTGGACTCGGGCTTCGGCCGCCCGGGCTGGCTCTGGCTGGCTTCTGGCTTCGACTCGGGTCCCAGGGGTGGGCTCGCTGCAAAGCTGCCGTCCGCGCCCACGCCAGGGACTGATCCCCCTACTCGGCTTCGCCTGAGGGGTCCTCACCTGCTGGTGAAGAGCCTGTGGGTGCGCAGACGTCTGATCGGAGCGGCCCTCGGGCTTACTCGATTCCCTGGTCTCGGTTGCTTGCTGCCCAGCTCGGGCTCCCTAGTCTTCTTCCTCGGACGACCTCTTCGCGGCACGCAAAGGGGGGAGTTGCAGTCAACCTGTCTCGTAAGGACGCGCGGTGAAGATGCAAGGGCCCTGGAAGGCCATGCCGACACTCTGCGGGCGGGGCGCGGCCAGCGAAAGCGGCCAAACATGGGCAGAAGGGGTAGAGTGCAAGGGCAACCTTGGAAAATTGCGCATCCTCACCATGCGAGTCGACTGACTCTCTCTTGGCGGCGCGCACAGGGGTGCAGTTAATGGGGGAGGGGAAAGGCTTCTTAGAAGGAGCCTGCTTCTTAGAAGGCGCCGGCCCTACATCTGCAGACAAGGCCCGCGCCTTCCAAGAGACATGTTTTTTTTTAAAAGCCTCTGCCCCGTGAGCTGATTCTCACCCCCCCCCTTTTGCAACCCCCCCTTTTCGCCCGACCCGAGAATACCGTTGACCTCGAGGCAGGTCTCTGTCAGCATCGGGCTTCGACGGCGTCAGCACGGTCAAAAGCCAGGCGATCCAAGCGCGTCTCCGACAAGCCCCCACGTCGAACCCGGTGGCCTAAAGCCTCTGCCCCTCCCTCTGCCCCCCCCCCCTCTGCGCGTGGCCGACGGAAGGCGCGAGGGAGCCGCGCCGGCTGCTGCCTCCCTCGGCAGGCCGCAGCCCGTCTCGCGTGTCGGGGCCTCGCTGCAGGCGAGAACGAAGACAGGGCTCCGCCAAGAGGGGGCATGGGCTTCTCCATATATCTCCCCGTTGACTGTGCCCCCGACTTCGGCGCCCAGGGCCTCCCACGGAATTGGGGCATCGCCGAGCGTGGAGATCGGCGCTCCCCGTGCCCCCCCGTGTGTCGTGCCCGCGTCTCTGGCGCCCTGATCTTGCACACGCTGGCATGAATTAGGGACGCGTGGATCTCGAGCGTGGCCGCCTGGTCCATGGATCGGGGGAGGTGCCCCCGATAAAGTGGGGGCAGTGCCGCCCGATTCGACAGAGCGCATCGATTCTGCATGAAAACGCGGCCCGCCGCTGATCCACGCGCCTGGGTCCACGTTTGCGTTTCCTCGAATCCATGCCGCTCCTGAGTTCGTCCCCCCGTCCGTGGCGGAGCGGGGAGGGCAAGGGGGGCACGGACGTGGGCAGGAAGAGGACCAGGACGTGGCGGGGCAGCAGGAGGAAGACGAAGAGGCAGGGAAGAATGCCAGGGGGCTCAGAGAGGAAAGAGAGGAAAGAGAGGTCAGGCAGGGGGACCGTGACGATACGGAGGGGCAGAAGGACGTGTGGAGGGAGAGGCGGAGGAAGACGACAAGGAGGCAGAGGCGAAGCTGGGAGGGACGATGACGGCCGCGCTCCTCTTCGGTCGAGGATGTGCTCGCAGATCCTCTGTCGGCAGGAGAAGACGCAGCACTCGCGGCGACGCCGCTAGGCGCGCGGGCGCGCGGCCCACCACAGGTCAGGATAAAAGTCCTCCAGGAGAGCGCCCCTCGCGGAACGGGCCACAGAGACGGCACATGCGCGCGCGGCGGAAACATACAGTCAAGACGTGTATTAATGACGACGGGTGGTAAGGACGCAAGACTCAAGACCCTTGGAGGCCGAATTTGTGATGTTTTGGGGTGACGGGCGACCAGAGAAAAAACGGCGAAGGAGGGGCCGCAGAGGCAAGGACACAGGGGTACCCTAGATGAAGGCGCGCGTCCTTACTAGGCGCGTTGGATGTACTGCAATAGTCTGTGTGTATCATGTCGGGCGCGGCCAACACCTAAGACGAAGCCAGGATGAAGATAACATCGGGTGGGGACAAATCGAGAATCTCTAAGATCCGACGGCTCTGAAGGATGTCTCGCGCGCCGCGGCCTTCTCAGAGAGTTGGTCTGAGAGCGTTCCGGAACGCTCTGGAACGGATGTATTCTCGTCCTAGCCCCGCCCGATCCCCTTCTGCGACCTCCTGCCCCTGACCAGGGATTCGAGAGCCCAGACCGTCCCATGGGCTCCAGAAGTAAGCGACAAGCTGGGGGCACCTTGGGTCAGGGGCGCCTTTAGCAACCACCGAGAGGGGGGAGAGCTGTCCGAATGGTGCTGGGAAGCTCCAGAACGCCGTCGTCCCTGTGGGCCCCGTACGAAAGCCACCTCCTTCTGTGAAGGCCCCTGGCCTGCGGCCTATGACGGCCCCATGTTTCTGTGACGAACACCTCTCTGTGACGGCTCCCTTGACGCCCGCGAGGCCTCCCGTGTGGGCAGATGTTGGCTGATTCCAAAAGTTGGCGGCGCGCACAGGGGGTCAGGAGGAGGGGGAAGGCTTCTTAAAATAAGGCTGCTTTCTTAGAAGGCGCCGGCCCTACATCTACAGACAAGGCCCGCGCCTACTAAGAAGCAGAGGTGCTTCTAAGAAGCCTTTGCCCATCCCCCTTGCCCCCCTCCTGCGCGTGGCCGACAGAGGAAATCGGGCTGGACTGGGGGGCTGCCCGTCCTTCTACGGTCGGGCACTCTTGATTAGCGTGTCGCCGCGGCGGCCCCGGCAACACTTTGTACGTCGCAGCGCGGCAGAAGCAACCCGCACGCGCGCTCGAGCGGGCCGCGAGGAGACAAGCGCTAAGTGTCCGGCGGCCCACGAGAGGGGGCGGGGAACAGGCGGGCGGCCGCGGGAGAAAGAAGGAAGAGGGAGTGCAGGGCACTCGGTGGGCGAGGTGCATCGCCTTGGAGAGGCCGGGGCGGCCAGCCAGGGCTCCCTAGTGGGCGCGGGGCGGCATCGCGGCCACACCTGGCAACACGCGACGCCCTGGAAGCGGGCAGCGTGTCGCTCCGCGGGGCGGGAAGCTAGGAGAGGCTCGGGACGCTGCCGCTTGGGAGTGGTCGGGTGTTGCTGGAAGTGCCCCTGGCCCAAGGTGCCCCTTGGATCTCCATGGGCCAGGGGCACGTCTAGCAACCCCCGACACGGGGGGGTACCACCAGCGTCTCGGGCAGAGGCGTGGCGGGCCAGAACCGAAGAGGACCGACACGGTCACGGAAGGCCCCTGACCGTGAGGAGGCGTGGGGCTTCCTAAAAAAGGCAGGGGCGAGCGGATGGCGTGTTGCTCCGCTGCGCGGGGCGGGAGGCCAGGAGGGGCTCGAGGCTCGAGGCGTCGACGCCTGGGAAGCGAGGACGTGGGCAGGCGTCCGGGAGCCGAGGCGCGGTGGGCCACGCGAGCCGAGCGGAGCGGCACGGTAGCCAACAAAGCTGAGGCGTGGGGGGGGGTCCTGGATGGCAGGGGCGGCGGCACACGGTGGTAGCGACGGGGCTCGAGCTAGACAGTGCTTTTCGTTTTCGTGCTGTTGTCGCTTTCCTTCGTTCCGTCGTTGCTTTGCCTTTGATGCGAAAGCGGAATCGAAACGAGAACGGTCCTCATCGTCCTTTATAAGGTATGAACAAGACGATGATACCATGAGAAACCTGGGCCAGTTTCGCGGACATCTCTGAACACATACCTGGGCAGATTGTGCTGGTGAATGCTGCTGGGGCGAACGTGCTGAAGAAACTGGGCCAGCTTTCTGGAGCGTTGGTTAAGAAACGCTGGCCCAGCTTTTCGGGACAAGGTGTCTCAATCAGATGCTCGATTCTATGATGATCCTGCGCAGGCCGCCACCAACATCCCACTTCTTTGTTTGCGCGGCGCCGAAGATGGTGTGAGGAAGATACGGAGGTCGTGCAGAAGAGGTCGGCTTGCACTGGGCGGCTTAGGCCGCGCCCGATAATTGCACTAGCGTTTCAAGATACTCTGTGGCGAACAGCACGACTCGCAAGTTGAACTAGGCCACTGGCGGTAATCGTCGGGTAATGCCAAACATTCTCATGGTGCGAGTTGTTCCCAGGAGTTGCTGGGAAGAAAATGAGATCGTGGAAACAAGACTTCCTGGGCCTCCAGAGCATCCTCCACGAGGCCCAGAAAGCCCCAACGGCTCCACAATGGCGCGAAAAGCGCGGGACTCCTGGGGGCCAGGATTACCGGAATACCCTTGGCGATGCCGACCCCCGAAACCAGGCGGACAGTTCACCGCTGGCGCACAGTCGGCCGACGCAGGCAAACAGAGGAAGGAAACACTGCATGAACACGAACTGGTGTCGCTCCGCGCGGGTTTCTTGGATCTGCCGTGAACCCCTCCCGCGGCGCCGGAGGCGCCGCCGGGGGCCCAGCGCCGATCCAAGAAATCCGCGCGGAGCGTCGAAAATTTGTGCTTCTGCAGTTTTTCTACTTCGAGCCGAGGAGATCAGGCGCTGATCAGGGCCTCGCTCGGCGCCCCTCCTGGGGAAAGACCTCCCCGCGACCACCAGTCCGATCCCCGCGAGGGGGGGGCACAGTGGGGAGGAGGTGCCCGAGATCTGACCTGGACTCGGGTGGGGACTCTCCCCTACCCAAATCCGCGGATTGATCCAGAGCGAACTGCACAGAGAGCAGAGGTGAACAAAAACAAGCATGGCTGGAGAGATAAAGAAGATGAGAGAAGTGCAGGGAAGAGAGAGAGAGAGAGAAACAAAAAGAGAAAGAGGTGCGAGCATTAGGTCTGTTGCCACCGCGTTGAAGCGGGTCAGGGGTGCGGGAGTGAGGAGAAGGGGGATGAGAAGGGGGAGGCAAAGGGGGAGGAACCCTCTCCATCCTCCTCGTCCTCCGTTTGTCCTCTGGGCCACTCCTCCTCCACCTCCGTTTCTACTTCTCCTCCTCCACCTCCTCCTCCTCGTTCCCCGACTCGTCCTCCTTCCCCTTTTCCTCTCCAATGATCTGCCCCCCTCCTTGATCTTGCACTGCTTCTTCGTATCCTGCCTCGCCTCTCCGATCTCCATGTACGTACCCAAAGAATGGGTTGCATCGGCTAAGCGGGCTCTTCATTCCAGAGCTATTGCGGCAAGCATCGCCTGGCGTTCAGCATGCCTAACCCGTTTGTCATCATGATCGGCTGATCGCTAGGCATCGCCTAACTTCCATGAGTAGGAAGTGGCTATTCCGTTCCGCTGCTGCTGGCTCATGTTGAACAAGCGCTTGCCGTGCCGCGCGAACTCATTCATCGGGGAGATTCTCGGTGCCTCTTGCCTTCCGTGGGTGATCCCTTCGTCTGATGCAATGCTATTTGCCGTCTCCCAGTGGCCATGACGGCAGCGGAAGAGATACATGCGCAACCAGGTCAAGCCTGTGAGGAGGCCAGGCCGCCCGAATTTGTCCTGCTCTGGGCTACTCTCACGAACCCTCCGGCAGAACTGTGGCTTCCTATGCCACTACACGTTTTGCAACAATTAGGAGGGTTCATATTGCACTGGGAACAAGGGTGTCAAACTGACAACAAGACCTGGGCCTGTTAGCCAGCTAGGGCCTCGGATGGCGCTGCAGTGACGGCACTACGCTGATGCACACGATAGCACCCCAAACTCCATTGGATGACGTGCCCGAACTGCACATACGTGCCAAACACTTGCACCGGCTTCCAACACTTGACTAGAAATGCGGTCGTTGCCGATGTAAGCTTAAAGCCCTACCATGTGCTACCTTGCCTGGTGCTCCAGCCGTCGACGCTTCAGAACCACTTAAACGTCATGTAACAAAGCTGGCGGCTAAATTTAAGATCTTGGACATTGCGCTTGCGATTAGATGGGCAGGACAGCCAACCATCAGGAGCAGCTGCTGCCAACTCAGACGCTCTACTCATGCCGCACAACTCGGAAGCGCAGCTGGGAGACGGCGATTCGATCAGGTGCCCCCAGGTACTCAGACCGCCAATCCAGCGCGCAGCCCAGAGCACCGCGCGCGCTCTGCGGCTAGTTTCAGCCCTCAGCTGCGCTGCCTCAGTAGGGGATGAAGAGGCGCCCTCTTCCCAGGGGGCGCCCCCTGCGCTGCAGACTGCGCACCTGAAACTGCTGGTGAAAGAACGATGCACGCTTAAACCTATAGGGATCAGGAATGGGGAAGGGCAAGGCGATGAAGGCACTTCAGGTATGGGTGCGGGTCGTCGGACCCCGAAGGGGGCTCCCGTTCGAGCGGGGATCCCCCATCCGACAACACACACACACACACCCATTCCCACCCACGGGATTCCAGCCCAATGCGTCCAGGATCTAGAAGTCGAAGAGGTATGGGTGCTGGCTGTCACATCCATGGCCTGCAGTCTCTCTTTCCAGGCCTCCCGCGCCCCACCCCGAGACCGTCGCCGCCTCGGCCCGCCGCTCCTCTGCGGTCCTGCCGGGAGCCTCGTGGCCACTGCCACCAGAACCTCGTGGACCGGTGCCCTCACGGTGGGCAGCGTGGTCTCGTGTCGAGGGCCCGCCACGGAGCGCGTAGCGAACGCACAGCAGTCAGTGGCCGGACGACGAGGGCCTCTTGTCCCGACCCCGCCCTGAAGCGCGGGGAGGAGGGAGGAAACCATGATGAAGAAAACAGGAAGCAGGAGCCTCGGCCACGAAGGAGGTCCCCCGACCCACGTCTGAGGAATGGCCGACCGTTGCCACAGTCTCCGTCTCCAAGACGGCTTCCTGAGGAGTTGCATGTCAAACCCCACTGGTGGGAAGGCGGCTCCTGGTTGCAGAGGGGACCTGGTGCCAAGAAGGCCTGCTGTCAGGTCGCCGACACCGCAGCTCCAGGATACAGTGGGTCCCCAGCACGGGCCACCTGCCGAGGCTCCGCCGCCAAGTACGCAGCACAGGAAATCCCGTAAGTAGGTGCCGCCGCCGCGGCAACGGTTGCTCTCCAGGCCGCTGCCTCGGCTTCACAGCAGCCGCCAATGTCCTCTCGTCCGCCTCTGCCGCACTCGGCGAAACCGCGGAACAGCGGTGCTGATACCCGCGCCGACGCCCAGCTATTGCCAGGAGCAAAAGCCGCCAGCGGAGCGCCATGCCACAGCTGCTCGATACCTCAAAGCGTGCCCACTTGCTGAGCCCAGTCGAAGGAGTCGCAAGGCCTGTCCTTACTTCCCTGTCTACTTCCCTGTCCCCTCCTTCGTGCCCGCCCCCCCCCAAAAAAACACTACATATGGGGAACGGTGCCCCTTCGATGCGCAGTGCGGCTGCGCCTGAATCTGTCCAAGTTCGGTCTGCAAATGCTGCGCCTGCCGGCACTGCATTTAAACAGCGGGCCAAGTACTGCGGAATCCAGCCGTGCAGCTGTATGCGCCGAGGGCAAACAAAGGATCGATGCTGCAGACAGGCCCACCAAGCACAAGGAGCTCGGTCATTCTGGCGAACGGTTACGGTGCCCGGACAAAAAGTGCCCACACCCATGGCGGGAAAGCGACGCAACATGATAACAACCACAACTGCGAAATGCCCGTGCTTCGCACCACTCCCCCCAAACCCAAAATTGAAATGTCCACATTTTGTCCCTGGCCTTTGGCTTACCGCCTAAACACGTCAAATTTGAATTTAGAGGAAGGGGGTATACATGTTGCTCAAGGTCTTGGCGAGACACGTGTGGACACTTTTAGTCCACCCACCGTGGTAATCAACCCTGCCAAGGTGAATATGATGTTGATGCGAGCTGCTTCAAATGTGTGTACGTCTCACGCGAAGGCCCAAGCAACGCTAGGACGAGCGAGAAGCATATAGCAAAGCCGAGTGCGAGATGCGGAGAAGTGCAGAGCCTGGACGAGTACGGAGGAGAGGGAAGGACGGCGGAGTCCAGAGACTACGGACCGCAGACATACAACGCAAAGCAAGGCAAAGCAAATCGAACGAAGCGCGGGGCCCAAACAACAAAAAGAAGCAACGGCGCGCCCTGGCAGCCCCGCGGCTTCTCTTTGCGTGGAGAAGTGCGTGGAACTGGTACCACTGGTGCAACTGGATAGAACTGGTCGTAGAGCTGGTCATGAAACAGGCCCATTAAAAGTATGGTCAGGCATAGAGATGGTCGCTTCAAATTAAAATCTTAAGAAACGAATGTTTCTGTTTAGGATTTCGACCAGTTCTATGCCGGAGCCATGTTTTACGATGGACCAGATCTATGACCAGTTCTATGACCAGCTCTATCCAGTTGTACCAATTCCGCAACGAAGCAAACCTACATCAACGAAACAACGAAACTCTTCTTACCCAGACGTGGTAATCAACCCTGCCAAGGTGGTTATGCTGTTGATGCAAGCTGCTTCAAATGTGTGTACGTCTCACGCGAAGGCCCAAGCAACGCTAGGACGAGCGAGAAGCATATAGCAAAACCGAGTGCGAGATGCGGACTACGGACAACGCAAAGCAGGGCAAAGCAAATCGAACGAAGCGCGGGGCCCAAACAACAAAAAGAAGCAACGGCGCGCCCTGGCAGCCCCGCAGCTTCTCTTTGCGTGGAGAAGTGCGTGGAACTGGTACCACTGGTGCAACTGGATAGAACTGGTCGTAGAGCTGGTCATGAAACAGGCCCATTAAAAGTATGGTCAGTCATAGAGATGGTCGCTTCAAATTAAAAAAAGCTTAAGTCGATCTTTTTTCTTTTTAGGATTCGGACCAGTTCTATGCCGGAGCCGTTTTTAATGTACCATATCTATGACCAGTTCTATGACCAGCTCTATCCAGTTGTACCAATTCCGCAACGAAGCAAACCCACATCACCGAAACAGCGAAGCTCTTCTTACCCAGACGTACTCTTGTGTCCCTCTTTCGTCTAGTCGACGCCCCCCGTGCCGCTGGACAATTAGTTCCCCCTGTTCCCAGCCAGCTCGAGCGCGTGCGGATCGCCTCTGCCGCACCGCGACGGAAAGAAAGTGGGGGGAGCCAGGGGCACCCCGCAATCCCCAGGGCCACTCAGAAGCCTCAACAACTCTCCCTCTGCCTCCTCCCTGGGACTTCCAACGCCCTCTCTTGCTCCTCCTCCTCCTCCTCCTCCTGTTCCTCCTGTTCCTCCTCCTCCTCCTCCTCCTCCTCCTCCTCCCTCATCCCCCCTCCCCTCCCAATCTCGCCCCGCGCGCGGGAGGGGGGGGGAGAGCGAGAAGTAGGGCGGGGGGGGGGGGGGCGCGAGCAGGAGGGAGGGCTGAGGGGGACCCCTGTTCCCTCTTTCCCCTCTCCTGGAGAGCGAGGGGACGCGGCTTTCGTCTCAGGCTCATGGCCCGAGGCCACGTTTCTCCCCTGGCGGGGTGGCTGCGGGCATTCACCTCGCACCACACGCGCGCAGGGACCACGGCCTGGAGGAAGTGGCCACTCCTCAATCCTCGACCCTGCAGTGGAAGGCAGGGCGGGGGTGAGAGAGGGGAGGGAGGACAAGGAGGAGGACGAGGAGGAGGAGGATGAAGAGGAGGAGGAGGAGGAGGGGGAGGAAAGGGAGGAGGAAGGGAGGGGAGGAGGTCCGATGTGATCGCTCCCCCTTCGTCAAGACCCCTCTGGCAGGATCCCAGAGGGGCCCTGAAAGGGCCGCTGACGCCCGGGGGTCACGATCCGGGGCTCCCGAGGGAGAGCCACACATGAGATACGCACGGCGTCGGCCCCGCGACGCTGGCCGACTTGCGAAGGGGGGGATCGGACCGGTCGGCGCAGCGACGCTCTCCCAGTCCGCTCCTGGCCCCGCTGCCGCGGGAGCGCCCGCGTCGGCGGCGCCGGCCAGCTCCGCCGCCTGGAGGGGGCCAGGAGGGGACACGGGGGAGACGAGGGAGGTGGGAGGAGGAGAGATGGGAACCACACGCACCGCACTTGTTTGACACCTGGTCCAGGCGAAAGCTCGATCCCATCCTCCAGGTCAGGGCCCCAGCGCGGACACATCTGTTAAGTGAGGGCCCTGTTCGGGCCTCGGTAGGCCATCCCGCTGGCGCTTGGTCAGAGGGCAGATGGGGAAGCACTAGAAAACCGACGATCTCAAGAAGGAGGGGAAGGGCACGGGAGACAAGGGCGACAGTCAGCAAGAGGCAACCTGTAAGCATCAAACACAGCGTTAACAACGCAGTGGGGTTCTCTAAGCATTACTGCTAAGCCTGGCTTCTCGGCTCTTCAAGCCAGAGCCCTGCGCTCCGCCAGGAAGGGCCCGGACATGCTGTGCTGTCCGGCGAAGGGAGGAGGAATTGACGGATGAGGAGACAGGATGAGGATACGGCAGGAAGAGGAGGAGGGGGAGGAGTAGGAGGAGGAGGAGGAGGAGGAGGAGGAGGAGGAGGAGGAGGAGGAGGGGGAAGGGCAGCGGGATGGGGGGAGGAGAGCTGTTCCTCAAGCTTTTGCTTGTCGGCAGCATCTGCGGCGCCCAGGCTAGAATATTCAGCCGCGTCGCTGCTAGAATCTTCAGTCGCGTCGCTGCTGGCGTCACCTTCCTCCAACACATCGGCTCAGCCCATGACCCTGGCTGGCCCCGTCGCCGCTACGACAGGTTGGTGTTTGTCGTTGTTCCCAACCCTCGTTCGTCGTCTTCTGGCGCGCGTGAGTCCGTTCGGTCGCTCTTTGCGCGTTCGCGCTGTCCGCGGCCCTGGTTTTTCCGCTTTGGGCTGCCTGGGCACTCTGGACCTGGCCTCCCTTTGTCTGGAAGGGCGGCGGATTTGCTGAATAAGAGTGGTCCGTGGCTATTTGGCTCGGCCCCGAAGGGGGAGCGAGGGCATTCGAACGTGCTCACACGCCGGACTCCAGCGGACACTCGTCCCAGAGTTGGACGGGTGCTGGGGTCGCGGCAGAAGGAAGAGGATGGTGATGAGGAGGAGGAAAAAGAGAGTGAGGGAGGAGAAGGGGTGAGGAGGAAGGGGATGAGGGAGGAGGGATGATGTTGTTGTTGATGATGATGACGATACTGATGATGCTGATGTTGATGATGATGGCGAAGATGATGATCATAATGCTTGCGACGATGATGATGCTGATGCTGATGGTGAAGATGATGAGGACGATGTTATTCTTAGTATGATGCTTATGCTAATCATGATGGTGATGGTGCTAATCATGATGGTGATGATGGTAGTGGTGGTCATGCTGACGACAATGATGATGACGCTGATGATGATATAGATGATGGTAATGATCATGAGGTTAATGCTGATCATGATGATGATGGCGATGATGATGAGCGTGAGCATGCCTATACGCATTATTACTAGTGTGATGATTATGGCGTTGATAATAATGATGATGATGCTGATGGTGTTGATGATGATACTGACTCTTACTATGAGTCTGATAAAGATGATGATGGTGGTGAGGATGATGGCAATACTGATGATGATGATGATGGTAGTGATGAGTATGGTAATAATGCGGATGCTGACGACGATGATGTTAATGATGAGCATGATGATGGTTCTGATGCCGATGATGATGATGATGATGCTGATGATGATGATGATGATGATGATGATGGTGATGGTGACGATGCTGATGATCATGATCATTCTCATTCCTACTATGAATAATATTTCGCTGCTGATGTTGATGGTGATGATGCTGTTGAAGATGAAGATTGTGCTGATGCTGTTAATCATGATTATGATGCCGATGAGGATGATGAGGGTGATGATGAACATCATGATGATGATAATGCTGATGCTGATGATGCTGATGCTCATTATGATGATGATAATGATGATGATGATGCTGATGATGATGAGGAGGAAGATGATGATGAAGATGCTGATGATGATGATGATGATGATGTTGCTGATTATGATGATGTTGCTGACGATTATTCTGATTCTTACTAGTATTATCGTAATCATTCGTATTCGTGTTAATATGATGGTGATGGTGATGGCGATTATGATGGTCATGATGTGGATGATGAGGAGGAGGCCGAGGAGGAAGACGAGATGGATGACAAGGACGAGGAGAAAAAGAAGGAGGCTCAGGAGGAGGAGGAGGAGGGAGAAGGGAAGGAAGAGGGAGGATTCGATCTAATTCGAGCTCATGGAACCCAAGACTGTAACAGCATTGATGATGATGATGATGATGAGGAGGAGGAGGAGGAGGAGGAGGAGGAGGAGGAGGAGGGGGAGGAGTGGGAAGGAGGACGATTTGGATGAAGGGGACGGGCTCGCAGGGAAGCGGGCCCAAGACCCTGGGGCCTTCCCCATGGGCGAGCTTCTCGCGCTGAGCTCTACTTTGACAGCTCTGGGGCCCAACTCGGGCCACGGGAGCCAGAGAACTCGGGCGTTACTTACCGGGGAGGCGATACAAGGTGTCGGAGGGGGGTGGGGGGGAACGTGCTCCTTTCGTGCCCCTTATGGGCCCCAGGGGGCCCCGTGAGGGCACCAAAGGTGCACCCTCCTCCACCCCCCCCACCCCCCATTTATCGCACCCCCGTCACTCGACGCCCGACCCGAGAACGGCGGCGGAAATCCTCGGGGACTCGTGTCCCTCAGGTTTTGTCGTAACCTTCGCACTTAAGGACCACATTCAACTAGTAATTCCGAGCACCCAGAAAAGTATCGAGCCAGGTTCTCTCCGACACGCTGGCAAAGTGTCGAACGAGTATCGCCTCCCAGGGCCCGACACTTGGAAACTCTTCAGTTTCGATATTCCCTTGGTGCTCGACCTTCTTCCTGGCGGTCAAAGCTAAAGTTGGTTGGAACAACAGAACCCTCAGGACCCCGCTCCAGAGGCGGAGGGTCGGCAGTACTGCGCAAGAGCGGCCCCAGGCCCTAGGCAAGAGCGACCTGTGGCGCGCGGCCGGTCGACCCGGGCGGGTGCGGAGGCCGACCGGTGGGTGCGGAGCGATGGTGGCGGCCTGCGCGCGCTCCCAACACCCCACCCGAAAAAGCCGCGCACCCGAGGGCACTCCGGCGGAGGGCCACTCCCACGTGTGGCCGAGGGGGGGGCGAGGGCCAACGTTGAAGGGGGGGGGGCATCGACCTGGAACCGGCGATACATCTCCGACAGATGCGCGATGAGTCGCCCATCGCAAAACCACGCGTTCCTGGGCGCGGCGGCCCATCGGGCCCCTATCAGCGATGAGTGGGCGGTTGGGGGTCGATGCGGTTGCGTTGGAGCCTCTCCCCTCCTGACGCTTGCCCTCCTTGGGGGACTCGAGGCTTGACTTGGCCCCCTGCTGGAAGGGCCCCCTGCCACCGGCCCCGCTGGCGCCAGGGCGCCCTCGTCGCTGGCAGCGCCGGCCAGGGACAGCGCCTGAGGGGCCGGGGAGGGGGGGACAACGACGACGAGCCGAGACGTCGCCCCCCCACCCCACGCACAAGAAGGATAGCGGGCCGACTTGCGGCGGGCTGGGTGAGGCCGCAGCCTGTCAGACCTGTCAGACGCTGGCGCGCTGGAGGGAGGAGGGCGAGGGCAGGAGGAGGGGGGTGGCGGGGTAGGGTGAGGAGAGGTAGCAGGAAGGGCTGGGGGCCCGGGGAGGGGAAGAGCTTCGAGGAGTGGGGGGATGAGAAGGCCGATTCGGAGGGAGGATCGGAGGGAGGACTCGAGCAGGGCGTAGTCTGAGCGAACAGGGTGCCGGAACATCATTGCCCCCCCCCTGGCTGATTCCGCAACCTGTCGTGAGCAAGGATGGAAGGATGGTCGTGGCGGTTTGGCCGTAGCCCTCGTGGTTACGTTCCCTCGGGGTCGAGGTTGCACCTCTCACATGCGTCGGCTTAGCCGATACGAGGTCGTGCATTGTACGAACTGGCCTCGTTGGTGGAAGCTGTGAAGCAAGTGATACAAGTCATCGAGGATCGAGAACGTGGATTATTGCACGATTGACCCCTTGTAGGAAGGCCTGCTGGGGCGCCCTCGTGGCCACGGCTGTATTCCCTTCGAAAGCCTCGTTGGCGCAAGGGGGCGGGGGGTGGCAGCAATGCGGGAAAAGCGGGAGGAGGGGTAGGCATGCGGAGCCTGCTGAAACATCAGGGTCCATATGTGCATTGCTGGCGCCTGGCCTCCTGGAAGGAGCCCCTGCAGGATGCCCTCACTGAAATACAGGAGGCGGCTGCTAATGTCGCCCCATAGTTTCACGTCTCGTATGCCTTGGACCATCGTATCCTTCTGCGTTTTGATTACGTGCTGCCTCCCCCCAAAACAACATCACATCAGTGCTTGCTTCAGGGGCTTCTTAGTTGGGATTGGCGACGTGGATGGCGATTCAAAATTGTCGCCTGAGACGATGCCAAGACTGGGACCAGATCGGACCAAGACGAATCGGGGATCTCTGGGAGCCGCGGTTCCGGAGGACGTATCGGGCGCCGCGGCCGTTCCAGAGCGCTCGGGAACGCTCTGAGTCCCGAAACCTCTGGCACGCCTCCTCCCCCTGCCCTGGCCCCGCTGGCGTGCTTGTTTTCCACCACCACCACCATAAGTAAGGAGGTGGAAGGGGGTCCTCCTTCTCCTCCTCCTCCTCCTCCTCCTCCTCCTCCTCCACCTCCTTCCCCCCTCTAACATATGGTGGTGGTGGTGGAAAACAGGCTCATCACCCGCCCCACCGTGGCCGCCTCGCGACCGCCCCGTCCGCTGGCTGGCGTTTCCAGGTACTGGCCAGGTGGCCGCCCGTGGCCGCCTCTCATGGCCGCCCCGTGCGCCCGCTGCTGCTCCGTGACCGGCCCGTGCGTGAGCAGGCGTTCTGGACGTGCGCACGACGCGCACTCCACCTGGACTCCCTGCTCCTCAGGGAGAAGCAGTTCTACTCCCACGCCGAAGCCAGACGTAGCGGCACCCTCGGTGTAGATTCCCCAAACGGTGCTTGCAATGGAGGGGGTGTCACTTGGCCTTCTGAGGGGACTGGATGTGTGTGTGTTGGGTGTTCGACAAGGTGCCGCCCGTGCTGCCTCGTTGGCGCCTCGTGGGCACCCCGCGCTTTGGGGGTATGGCGGGTCCCCGCGATTGGGGGACATGTCGGATTGTCGCGCCTGGGGGGTGTGCCGGGTTTTCGCCACCTTGCCGCCCGTGCTCTCACCGCATAGCTCACATCATACAGCTTGCACCCCGTAGCCTCCACTTCCAAGTCACACCACCTAGCTTGCACGACATGGCTTTCACCTTATACCTTACACCGAAGAGTTGACACACCCAGGGCTCACACCAAGCAGCTTACACCACACCACATGCACCACCCTGCGTTGCACCGCATCGCTTGCACTTGGGGCCCACGCTGGCCAACATGTTCCCCGATCAGTGCCTGCACTTCGGGGTTCTTCGAAGACCCGCGCCGTTGCCACCCCTTGCCGCCTCGATGCCGCCTCGTTGCCGCTTGGGGGGTCCGCCGAGGATTCGCCACGTTTCCGCCCGTGGCCATCTCCTTGCCGCTTGAAGGTCCGCCGAGGATTCGCCACGTTGCCGCCCTTTGCCGCCCGTTGTCGACTCGTTGCCGCCTCGTTGCCGCTTCGGGGGTCAGCCGAGAACTCGCAACGTTGCCGCCCGTCGCCGCCCGTTGCGGCCTCTTGCCGCACCGTTGCCACTTGGGGTGTCCGCCGAGGATTCGCCACGTTGCTGCAAATTGCCGCCCGTTGCCGCCACGTTGCCGCTTGGGAGGTCGTTGCCGCTTGGGGGGTCCGCCGCGGGGGTCCGCTAAGGGTTCGACCCATTGCCGCCCGTTGCCGCCTCGTTGCCGCTTGGGGGCCCGCCGAGGGTTCGCCACGGTGCCGCTCGTTGCCGTCCGTTGTCGCCTCCTTGCCGCATCACCACGTAGCCTACACCACATAGCTTGCATCACATAGCATACACCAGAAAGCTTGAACCACCTAGATTGCACAACGTGTTGTATATCACATTGCTTACACCACATAGCTTGCATAACATAACATACACGACGTAGCTCGCGCCAAATAGCTTACACCACATAGTCTGCACACATACCTCCGTTAGCCATTTGGCTCAAGTTCTCAACCCCTCCAGGGGGGCTGGGAGCTTGCCATGGCCATCGTGGCTCAGTGGCGCCGCCCGCGTGGGGTCTCCTTCAGGGCTCGGGGCGGCGGTGGGGCCGCGGGGCGCGGGGGTTGTCCTCCCCCCTCGCCTCCATGGGCCGCCTTGCTGGTGGCCCGGTTGCGGCCTGGCTGGGGCCAGGCGGCGAGCAGGTCGGGTACCTCGTGGAGGCGGCGGTGCGCGCGGCAGTAGTGGCAGGCGCCACGCCGCAGGTTGCAACTGCTGTGGAAGTGCGGCGGTGGAGGCAGCGCTCCGCCGGGGGGGTTTCGCCGGACGCGCCGCCCAGCAGATGCGTGAAGCTCCCAGGGCGGGGGATGCGTCGACGGTGGGCGGCCATGCGGCGGCTGCTGTGGGGAAGGGCAGCGAGACTCTGTGCGAGCCGCCCGAGGGCGGCGAGGGGGCCCAGGACGAGTACGACATTGGCTCGGAGATCGGGTCGGTGGACTCCGACTGGGAGCGCAGGGCGGGCTCCTCGCGGTGCAGGCCGAGGCCGAGGCCGACGGCATCAAGGCCGAGGCAAAGTGCGGGGGCGCGGGGACCGTGGCGGGCCGCCGACGTGGTGGCGCTTTGTGGACGGCGCCTAGCGCGCGGACCAGGGCCCTGCCGCGGGGGCTGTGGCTGCAGGGCTCATGGGAGGCGCGGCAGTGGGCCAGCATGTGGACGGCGACGTTGGCAGGGTGAACGACCTGGTGAAGCAGGTGTTCGTAGTCGACGGCGAAACTGACGAGGAGGCCGACGGCGCCCAGGCGGCGGCAAAGTCGGTGAGCGAGTTCGTGCCAGGGGAGCCCGAGGCCTATGACAGCGCAAAGGGCAGACCCTGACGCCGCTGCGCCCGAGACACCGTCCTCGGAATGCAGCGATGGCGTGCAGGAGGAGCCTGGCGCCGCGCGGAGCGTTTCTGGGTCGCCGCGCTGTGGGCCCAGAATCTTGGCTCCGCCGCCCGGGGCGGCCCTGCCGGCCCCGACGGCGTCCCTGGCGGCTTCGGTATTGTGCTGGGGCGATTCTGGGTCGCCGCGCTCTGGGCCCAGAATCCTGGCCCCGCCGCCCGCGGCGGCCCCAGCGGCGTCCCCAGCGGCCTCGGCAGCGTACTGGGGCGATTCTGGGTCGCCGCGCTCTGGGCCCAGAATGGCCAAGGTTCGAGCCGCAGGTAAGGGCAAGAGCGAGCAGCGCAGGCGCTGGGCCGATGACTTGGACGACCAGGTCGACGGCGGCATGGTGCTGCTGCCAGCAGTGCCAGCGCGGCCAGCGTTGGCCAGCGGGCTGGACAGCGAGCACGTGCCCCTCCACGTGTCGCAGAACCAGGCCGCGTGCCAGAGGGCGGCGGACGCGACGGCCGAGCTGAGGCTCGCAGGCGACGCCCTCGTGGAGCTGCCGCCGAAGGCCGCACGAGGCACGGCCGTGCGGGAAGGGCGCCCGAGGGCCTGTTTCTCGTGCCGCCCGACGCGGAGGGCCCGCTCGACGAGCCGAGGGAGCCGACCCGGTGCAAGGAGCCGCCCGTGCAAAGTCATCCCCAGGGCGAGTAGTGGGCTCGCCCGGCAGCCAGGCGCAGCAGGGTTCAGCTGGGGCCCATGCACCACCAAGTCCTGGGAGCGACGCTGAAGAGTCTGTGGGGACCCAGACAAGGACCAAGGAGCAGATCGAGCAACGCCTCGTCTGCCTCGAGGGTTTCGTGCAGACTGCTGAGGACATAGCAATGGGAAGCTATCCGATTTGGCGTGTGAACTGAGCCTGGTAAAGTTGAGTTGAGCAGAGGTGTGCAGTGCATCTTGAATCATATAAGTATGTTCTTGATGGCGAACTTCTGCGTTGTTGCAGTGTGTGATTTCAATGATCAGTTATGTGTTGGCTCTTGTATTAATATATATTCGTGATAATAATCTCAACGCTGCGCGTTTTGCCTGGCACTCCAAGTAATGGCGGAAGATGCCTGAGGCTGTGATTCGGCTCCGGAGGGAGCCTGTGAACCGTTAGCCTCTCGGCTTTGACGTGAGGTTCGTGGGCAGTGTGAAACAAAAGTCTGCACCACATAGCTTGCACCACGTAGTGTGCACCACATAGCTTGCACCACATAGCTAATTTATCCACGGTGCAATAACTTACGGATTGGGGTTCACACTGGCTCACATTTTATTATTTCATCTTTTTACGCGCGATCGTTGGTCCAACATTCGGGTCACACCATCCCACTCAGGCCAATTATCGTCTCCCTTCGGTTCCCAGGGCCCGCGCTCCCCGTACGAAGTCGAGGCCCCGCCCCTCCAACCGGACCTGGAACCCTGGCCAGGGCCCTGCCTGCCACATGCGAAAACGAGGCGGTGATCTCCCCCACGCACACATGCGGGCACGGGACCAGGAGTGAGGAGGGACGTATGGGGTTCTGAACAGAGTAGCGAGCAGGAGTATCAATAGGAGAAAGTCGGAGTACGAGCAGGAGTAGGTGGTGCAAGCCATAGCGGTCCAAGCCGTAGCGGTACCGTGCAAGAACGGACGACCCAGGAACGACGCCATAGGGTCCAAGCAATAGCGGTCCGAACCATACCGTGCCACGCGCGAACGCCCGATCACCGCAGATTACCGGTGAGCCCAGGGTGGAAGTGGGAGGGGGCAGGCCTTCTCAGAGGACGACAGGGCTTCTCAGAAACCCTTGGGCCCTCTAAGCCTTGTAGGCCTTCTCCGAAGCCACAGGCAGCGTCTCACTGCCCCCATCGGCTCGCCGACGAACAGGGTCATTTCACTGGAACCCGAATCACGCGCTCTAAGCACAAGCGCTGTTCGGAGGACAGCCTCCGCCCACCCCATCCCTCGTCGTCGTCATCTCCATTGTCACACATCCATTTCTATGTACATGTATATGCTGATGTACATGTACATGTATATGCAGTTGTATAGGTATATGTATATGTATATGCATGCGTAGATGTGTCTGTAGATGTACATGTAAATGTATGCGTATATGCATATGTGTATGTACCGTTATGTGTATATGTATATGTCTATGTATATGTTGTTGTATGTCGATATATATATATATGTATGTATGCATGTATGTATGTATATATATATATACATGTGTATGACGACCGGCGGACACGGGGACGGTCTGGTTAAACCGAAGGTACCGACACCGCTACTCCCTGGACCTCTTCCGGGGTGCGATCCGACCAAGATTTCGAGACCGCTCCAACGGTGGAGACGAGGGCCTCCAGGAGGCCGAACAAGAGGAAACCGGCCAAAGCGTAGCGGTAATTATCTGTACCTCGTCCTCCTCCGACAGTCGGCGGGCATCTTCGTTGCCCTATTTGCTTTTGTCGTCATCGTCGTCGTCGTCGTCGGGCCGAAGCCCTGGCAAACTCGGTCTCCAAACCCCTCCAGGGGCCCCTCCTGACCTGGATCCGCGGCCCCCTTTGGCCCTGGCTGCGAGGACCTCCCGAGACGCGCCCACAAGACTCCAAAAAGAAACGTCGCCGTCGTCGTCGCCGTCGTCCGCGCCTCTGCCGGCGGTGGCGGGGCTGCCGGGGTGCCCCCGGCGCGCGAGCAGCAGAAGCTGGCGCCGAACATGGACAACCAGGAGGCCTCAGCCGAGGAGGGGGGGGCCAGCGCATAACCGAGGCGCCACGGCCGAGGTCCACAATTCGCGACCTTCTGCTCCGCGTACCGTGGCAACCCTGAGCTGACGCTGGCGGTCTACAATGCTTTGCGACACGCTAACCAAAAGTTCCCGACCGTGGGTGGCAGAACACTTGCGCGGACATGGGGAGGGGAGGAGGAGGAGGGGGGAGGGGTGTCCATAGAGGAGAAGGGGGGCGATGAGAAGAAATGTGCAGGATGGCGATGAGTAGAGGGGACGTAGAAGAGGGGAGGAGAGACAGGAGGACGAGGGGGGAGGGATGATGAGGGAGAGTACGAGATAGTTTTGGTGGAAGCCTGGGTGTTCGAACGTTCGCGAAGGCTAAAGATCGCCTTACGGACGAGAGCGGTGGGAGGAGGAGGGAGAAGGGTGCTCCCAGAGCTTCTCTGGCTTTTCGGCCCCCCCTGGCGAGTCTAAGAAGAGGGAGACAGATTATAAGAATTCGTGCGTTTCAAAGGGTCCACGGGTTTCTGGGCCATCCTAGATGGGGCTCACATTGGGGGCGGGACAGGGAAGAGGAAAGAGGGAGGAGGGAAGATGAGGATAAAGAACATGAGAGGGGTACGCAGAGACGTTCCAAAGAATTTCCCAAAACCGACTCAGTCGGAGATCTCTGGGAGAGCTTCGTTTTAGTGGCCTCCGAGAGCTAGTGGGGAGGAAAAAGAGGCAGACGGAGAGGTAGGAAGGAGGGAAGAGCGCAGAAGGACGAGGGAGGAGGGTCAGAGAAGGGGGAGGCGAAGGAAAAGTACGAATGACGCTGGCTACGGAGACGGGGCAACCGGACAATTGGTGCAAGGGGGATGACGCCAACGACGCAAATCATGCTGCGGCTATGCGGACACAGTGCCAGGTGACACGCCTTCAGGGCAGGATGAACACTAAATCAAGACTCCCACAAGTTCGCCATGCTATGCAACTGCAAGCGAGCTGTACCTCGTATCACAACCAGCAAATTCAGCATGACGGCGCCCTACCACTGAGTGATTATATGTCTCCCTGCAGACAAGTTCCCATCCGAGGCACGAATCGCTCTCGAAGCATGTCCCATCGGATACGGTATAGTCTGGACATCCCATACACTCAACACACCGTTGGTCGTTGCCACTCTGTAAGGCGGCCGCAATAAACACGGTGCTAGATACAACAACTCACTGCCACATAACCGAAAACTGGCCCGTGCGAGCGAACACACACGGCAAAGAGAAAGAGCAGGAGAGGGAGGACGAACACAGCGCAGCTCTCATCACTACCCTTATCTGTGCCAACACTGTCAAACATGTTACGGTACACGCAGACGTGCTGATCGCGCACAACAGTGGACAACAAGCCGTGCTCATCCTCGATGTAGTGCCCTGGTGAGGAGCCCAACCGCACACAGCGAACAGACGTCATGCTCGGCATAGACGCCGCTTTGGGAGGCGGCCTCCCGCGGACCGTGCCTGATATGCCTTCACGGTAAACCCAAACGCGTGGCCGAGGAGCAAACGCTGGGGCGAACAGCGCGGGAAGCGGCCCAGCACCACACGAGCCCGCCAGAGTGAACCATGGGGCCCACTCAGTGCACCACAGCGGCTTCCGCCCATCACGACACGAGGACTACCGCCCAGTACACCGCGGGGCCGCCAAGAGAACCAGGAACTGGTGCACCACTGAGCGGCGCAGCACGGCCGCTGGCTGGCGGCCTGGTCGGAGATGTCATGACCGCAGCCTCCGCCACTGCCAACCAACGCCCAAAACTGTCGCCAAGGACCGTCTCGGCCGTCGCCAAGGACTGCCCCAGCTCACCAAGCACCGCCTCAGCCGTCGCCAGGCACCGCTCCTAAGCTCCAGGATTGCCCTGGTCAGGCACGGCAGTGTGGTGATTTATGTATACCTCCTGCGAACCAAGATGGGCTTCGACAACTGGCGCTCAGCTACCAGACCGCTTGGGCCGAAACGTGTGCGGAGGAGGAAATGGAAGAGGACGAGGAGCGAAGACGGCCAAGGAAGGAGGAACATATCAGGGCGGGAAAGAAGGGAGAGTGAGGCTGGTGGCGTGGCCCTGCGGCGGATGCAGCGGGCCCACCAAGCGCGCCCCTGATCGCAGAAGAGCAAACATGCGTGTAGTCCGCCACTGCATGACCCAAGGTTTTACCCGATCCCCCGACCCTCCAGGTCGCGTCATTCGCGGGGGAGGACCACAGTCCTCGACAAAATGAGCCTCAGAAGTGATTGATGCACCCGATCAGTGTCGCCCCCTTTCGCCCCCTCAATGTCGCCCACCTTCCATGTCGAAGCAAAGCGAAAAGCGGTCTGAGCGGCTTCGAAGCGGAGGTTCCATGATGACCGACATTGAAGAGGGAGCAGGATGCACAGCAGCGCCACGAAAGCATCGGCCCGCATCGGATCGCCCGAAAGTCTTAGTAACAACAACTGCATAATCCTAGACTTTCGACGGTCCGCGCGGATCTCTTGGATCGGCGCTGGGCCCCCATCCCTGGCGCGCGGAGCACGCAAGGGGAGTGCGCCAGAGGTCCGCGGCACACACAAAGGGATAAGGGGGAGGGGGGAAGGCATCTCAGCAGGAGGCTGCTTCTTGGACGGCGCTGGCTCTACATCTATAGACAAGGCCCGCGCCTTCTAAGAAGCAGGGGTGCTTCCAAGAAGCCTGCCCCCACCCCCCTACACCCTGCGAAATGCTTAAGAAATCATGGGTTAAGAAATTCATAGTCTCAGAACTTGAATAAAAACCAAACATTTCCATTAAAATCTTAAGACTTCCACTGAAACGTTAAGAATCATCGAGACCCTGGCCGAAAACTTAAGTTTTCTTAAGCATCGCCTAAAGTGTACGCCCCTCTGCGCATGGCCGAAGAGGCGCCTTCAGGGGGGGCCAACACGCCGATCCGAGAGATCCGTGCGAGGCGCCGAACATCAAGGCAATCGGCCGAGGGGGCCCCGGGCGCCAGGCAACAACGACGACGACGAAGACAACAACGACGACGACGAAGAAAAAGAAGGCAACGACGAAGGCGACGAAAACAACGGCGACGAAAACAACGACGGCGACGGCGAGGACGACGGCCGCCTCTGACGGTCTACAGAGATCTCCGGAGGTCTCAGGAGGTTTCTGGAGGTCTCGGGAGGCGTCTCGATGCTCTTCGAAGCCCTCGGAGACGACAAGGACGACTGAGCCGACGACGATGACGACAACGAGGACGACGACTACAAGACGAAGAATAATACGAAGAAAAGAAGACAAGAAGAAAACAGCGACGACGACAACAAGGGTGGCGACGACGACGGCGACGGCGACGACGATCTTGACGACGACAATCACAACAACGACAAAAAACAACGACGACGACAAACAATAAGAAGAAAAACAAAAAAAAGGAAACGACGACGACAACGACGACAACAAGGGTGACGACGACGACGACGACGACCGCCTCTGAAGGTCTCCAGAGGTCTCAAGAGGCCTTGGGAGGTCTCCAGGGCCTCTGGAAGCGTCCGAGAGACCTGTCACCCACGACACCATCTGGGAACACGGCGCCTCACCTATGGGAGCCCGGCCCTCCCCCTCCGTGCCTTCTTTACCATTACGGGGGGGGGGGGTGCGACCCCTCCTCCTCCTCCTCCTCCTCCTCCTCCTCCCTCTCCTCCTCCCTCTCCTCTCCCTCTCCTCCTCCTCCTCCTCCTCCCTCTCCTCCTCCTCCTCCTCCTCCTCCTCCTCCTCCTCCTCCTCCTCCTCCTCCTCCTCCTCCTCCTCCTCCTCCTCCTCCGTAACGAGTGGAACGAGTAAAAAGAAATCGTTTCGGGGTGCTTTGGGGGAGTCCTGGGCTTTGCGGGGTCGTTGGCCGGTCTTGGGAATTCGCCTGGAGCGCCTTAGGGCCGTACCGGGGGCGTCGTGTTTTCTTTTGGGACGGGTCTGGGGACGGTTTGGGGGATCCTTGGGTTCTTGTGGGACTACCTTTGCACTTCTTGGGGCCCGACGAGGGGCCTGTTGGGTCGCTTTGGGCTGTAGGACGCCCGAAAACGGGAGACATCGAAAATCATGAAAAACGACTGTTGGCAATCTATGACTTTGCCAGATTCGTGCCCTCCTAAAAAGCTTACTGGAGCCCTCACGGGGATGATCGGACGCGTTATGAACCGCCGTGGAGGCCATCTGAGGCCGTCATCGAGCAATCTTGGGCCTGCTCGGGGCAATCGTGGTCTAATTTTCGCCTATCTTCCGCGTTTGGAGGGCTCCTTGGGGCCGTCTTCGGCCCGTCTGGCGTCCTCAGGAGCCCTCGGGCTTGTCGGAGGCGTTGGAGACGGAGACGGGGGCGACTTGGAATTAGGTTTTGGCCATCCGCGTATGGGACTTCCGTGTCATGTAAGAAGGTTGATGCACATTTGTATGTATTCACAGGTGTATGCATGCGAACACACATATATATAAAGATATGTGAAGCATCGATGTGTCTAGTTATGTACGTTTGTTTACAGACAAGGCTGCAATGGTGTTTCGCGCCATGCGCATTTACCACTCAAGCTCCGCATGAAGGTGGAATGAGAGAGAGAGAGAGGGAGAAGCTACGCAACATGCAGAGATCCTGATATCCGTTTGAGTTCTCGGCGCTCTCTTTATTTCGTTATTAGTCGTATCGCTATGATTCCCAACCCTCCTTGGTTGGGTATTCGTTTTGAATAGACCACTGCGGTCGCGTCTTCTCCTCCTCCCGCCTCCCGCCTCCCTCTTGTCTCCTCTTGCCTTGTGCGTACCTCTTGTGTGTGCATCTTGCCTGCGGTACCTATCGTTTTTTCATCTTGCCTGGGGGGCTGCGATCTGCAAAACTGTCGCCAATTTCGAGGGTTGCTGGAGGGGGCAGCATAGTGGGTAGCCGCCGCAGAACTCGCCATCCCTGCGGGGGGGGGGCTGCGATTTGTGAAACTGTCGTCACTTTCGAGGGCTGCTTGG